TGACTCGATGGCACACAACAACAACGAAATAAAGTGTCACTATTTAAAAAAAATACACTGAATGTGAAACATTGGGTTGGTGGACAAACAGACATCTGGTTGAGAGAAACAGAACATATATGGTAGAATGGATTGTGAATACAGGACATAGTCCAGGGGGTGCATAAACTGTTCTCTAGGATAGTGATTCTGAAACATGGTGCTATCTGAGCAATAGAAGAGAAACAAGTAGCATCATAGAGAGATCTTAGAAAGCTGTACAAAGTCTCGCTATTCTGTGCAGTAGCTACAGGTACAGTAGACTCTGTTACCACAGAGTCACAGGCAAACAATAATTTGGTGCCAAAGCAAACAAAAAGGCAAAGGATCACTGTTCTAGTATTTTTTGCTTTTGAATAAGCAGCAGTAATATTCAGCCAAGCAAATAATATCTGGAAATCCTGCTCTGTTGCCCTAGGAAACCAGGAAAAGCTGTTGGTTCACCCGTTTGCTTTAATAGCATCTGATCGGAGTTCCAGGAGCTCTGTGTAACCATGTCAATCCATCTCATTGAGGGTTTTCCTCCCCTCTGCTGACCCTCCACCTTTCCAAGCATGGTGTCCCTTTCCAAGAATAGCCTCACCTAGTTACATGTCTAAAGTATGAAAGACAAAGCCTCATTATTCTTGCCACCAAGGAGCACTGTGGCTGCACTTTTTTCAAGACATATCTATTGGGGCGGGGGGGGTTTGCTTGGCACTCCATAGGATATTCAGTATTCTTCTCCCGCACCACAACTCAAAAGCATCAATTCTTCTGTCATCCTTATTCATTATCCAGCCCTCTGATGCATAGCAGGTAATTGGGAAAACCAAGGCCTGAATCAGGCACACCTCTTTAGCATTTTGGAGAGGTCTCTGACAGCGGACTTCCTCAATGCAATATGTCTACTGATTTCCTGACTGCTCCTACCAAGTGTATTGTTGACCCAAGCAAGATGAAATCATTCACAGCTTTGCTCTTTTTTCTATCTATCATAATGCTGACTGTTGGTCCTGTGGTGAGTACCTTTGTTTTCTTGATGTTGAAATGTAATTCATACCTAAAACTATGGTCCTTGATCTTTTCCAGTAAGCATTTCATATCCTCATTTTCAGCAAGCAAAGTTGTGTCATTTGCATGGCACAGGTTGTTGATGAGTCTTTTTCCAGTCCTGATGCCATGTTCTTCTTCAGAGTCTGGCTTCACAAATTACTTGCTTAGCATACAGCTTGAATAAGTATAGGGAAAGGATACAGTCCTGACACACACTCTTCCTGAGTTTAAACCATGCAGTGTTCCCCTACTGTTTGGACAACAGCTTCTTGGTCTAGATAATAGATTTCCTATTAGCAGTTAGAACAACCGAGCGTTGTGGGATTCCCATTCTCCTCTGTGTTAGCCATAATTTATTATGATCCACACATTCAAATGCTTTTGCATTGTCAATAAAATACAAATAGATATTCTTTACTTTCAGCCAGGATCCATTTGACATCAGCAATGGTATCCTTGGTGCTGCAGCCTCTTCTAATCCCTTCTTGAACTTTTGGTTGTGTTACTGTCAATATACTGTGCTGGCCATTTTTAAATGGTCTTCAACAATATTTTGCTTGCATGAGATATTAATGATATTGTTTGATATTTTCCACATTCTACTGGGTTACCTTTCTTGGGATTGGGGACAAATATGGATATCTCTCAATTAATAGGCCTGTGCTAAGACCCAGTACTAAAGATCCAGCTTCACCATTGTCTGTCTTAGAAACCCCATAGAGGGTGGTTTTTGCTTTATACCTGCTTTGTTCTGGCAGTAATTTGTTACATAACAATAAGTAAGTACAACACAGAGCTAGATCTTAGTGCCAGAATACACAAAGAACTCCCACAAATTAACAGCAAAAAGACAATAAATGGATATATTACAAAACAGGAAATACAAATAGCCAAACAAGGACATGAGAAGATGCTCAAGGAGCTATATTTTATACCTAAGAGAATGGCTAAAATAAAAATATACCAAACAAGAAACTCATGCAATTATTCAAAATGGGTAACCTTGGAGGATATTCTGCATGGTGCCACTATTGTAGAACAGGACTGACATCAGGGTTGGGATGAGACTGAGAAAAATTGCATAAATTATGTATATTGCATTGAAACAGATGAGGAAGAGAACTGTTTGAAAGCGATATATGATTGGGTATTATGGTTATGACAAGAGTCCAGAATGAAGGTTGCACAGTGGAGTGTACTCAGGGCGGGGGAGGGGGGGAAATTTTACACCAGTGAAATAATTTTTCTTTTGCTTTTCAAAGAGAAGAGTGAACTATGGGAAGGGGTGGGCAGGGAGAAAAATGCAACAATGAATGTATGGAAATCCATAATCTCTATAAACATTCATTAAAATTAATTTAAAAAAAACCCCCAAAACAGAAGAAAAAAAATACCAGTAAGGATAGGTGCCATTTAGAACCTTCAATGGTTGTAAACTAGCCCAGTCAATTTAGAAGATTCTTTGGGAATCATGGGGTTGGTATACTTTCTTTTGTATTTTCATGGACTTGATGTTCTAAAAGAGGTTGAAAATCTGTAGTAACATTCTTTTCAATTTCATCATCATTTACTTCAGAGATCAAAATTTTAAGAGATTGAAAGGGAAGATTAGCTGTTGAGCCAGCCCAATCAAATCAAGACACAAAGCTTACTGCTGACAAATGTAAGAAAATCAAAGCAGATTAAGGGATTCGAGGAAACAAGTGAACAGCTGTAAGAAAAAGATCCCAAATTCATGATGAACTCAGTCTATTTAACACTAATGACAAACATTAACATCAGTTGTGGCTGGGTTAGTAATGCAATGAATGTAATATTGTGCACAGAATAATGTTTATTCTCAGACACTTGTCTCAGGTCTAGCATCACATGTCCTTCACTGACATGAGCTGCCTCTGGGGAACCAGCAGGCTCAGATGACCTGGCCCAGCTCAGAATTTGCAGAGAGAGATGGGAGAAAGGCCAGAACTATCTCCAAGGTTAAAAAAACACACACCACAAACAACCCTCAAAAAGCAACAAAACAAACCCCCAAACCAACAAAAACCTTCAAAACCATCAAGTCAGAACAGACTCACAGCTGACACTGCCCTGTGTTTCCCAGGCTGTAAATCTCACAGGAGGAGATTGCCTCGCTTGCTCCTAAGGGGCTGAACCATATAATTTTCATTCTGAGATACTCAGGAATGTGCTCTGACCCCTGGGGGTGAAGAAAGGTGGGTAGAAATTCAAATTGGGAGCTCAGCATTTGCTTTTGGTCAAACACAAAACCCAATGCTGCTCCAGAGTCAGGGCAGCCTTCTATCTGAAAAGTCTGACACATGACCTGAGAAGGGTTTCCTCTGAATCTAGAGAAATCTTACCTAATAGAATCTGGGTACACATTTTCAGACATTCTGGGCTAAGTCACTGTTGGGACTCAAGGGACAGTAGAGGAATAGATGCAGCAAGAGCTGATTCAGGAATAGAGGTGAGCTGAGATGGCTTCCTCTCCAACATAAAACACAACCTTTTTCATGAAATGGAAAAGAAATTTGCCAAAAAATACATATGCTATAATCTTTAGATTAAAAAAAACCCCAAACCAAAATAACCCCAACAACCCAGGAATACAAAATGCTGAAGAGGATATACACACACACACAAATGTTAAGAAAGTAGGTGTGGATAAAGCAGGCAAAGGACTTTACTTCCTTGGGCTTTAAATTCAGTTTGTCGGGTTTTTTTTGTGTTGGAAAAATGGGGGGTTTGTTTTCTTTATGGAAATATATGGTTTTAAAAGAAATGTTAAGGATCATCAATTAGTTTATTCTAGAAAAACACATTTTATATAAAGTAAATCCACTTAAGTTTGATCAAATTGGCAGACGCTTTAACTGCAATAAAAGAAAGGTTTGTGAGAATCAGTGATGTTTAATTTGGCAAAGAGAACCCTGTAGCCAAAAGAATTTTTAAATACTTGAAAGACAGCTAATGTGGGCTAGACAATAATTTTTAATTTGTATAGTTTATGAGAGAAGAGTTAAGATCTGCAAGTCAAAATATGAGAAGAAAAAATGTCACCACTAGAAAGAAAATTACCTAACAAATTAGAAGCATTAAAAAAAGGAACAGACTGCCTAGGTGGTAATGATGTCCCATTTTGACAGTATTTCGCTATACTGAGGCTAGGTGACTTCCTATGGATTCTTTAAAGAAAGAAATAATTCTTAAATGAAAGATCTGCCCAAGTGAAATTTAAAAAAATAAGGGAAAGACCCATACAACTCTTCTTCCCACTGTCCAGGAATTTTGAGATTACCCCTCCACCCCCTGTAAAAATTATTCAAGTAAATAAAGTTGGTACTAACATCTTGGCAAATCACTTTCTCTGTTACCTCACATGTAGGTCAATAATAGTACTCCTTTCATGGGGTGATTGTAAGGAAGTAATTACAACATACACAGGCCTTGGAAAGGAACTGACACAGTAATTATGTGCCATTTTTTGTTAAATGTAATGATAATTATAACCTATAAACAGTGTATTGCAGAGAATTCTAAACTGCAACAAATTTGCAAAGTAGCTATGAGCAACAGATTTTGGGATTAGTCATTATTTTTAAGAAGATAGTATTAGGAGATGATTTGGAATCACTGAATCAGTGTTCTCTATATATGTACATATATAAAATTTTTAATAAAATAGATTAATTTCCAAATGAAATAACTGACCATTCTAAAGTTTCAGTATTTAATAGCTACCTTTTTTACAGTACATACCATTATATATCTAAGGTCTTAATAGCTGTGGACACGTCGAGTTAAAACTCATCGTTGTTTTACGCTATGATAAACTTAAAAGAGCCCCATAACAATAAATGGGGAACCTGGCTTACAAAAACACTGATAATTTTTTCCCCCCTTGCTGCTTCTCTGGTTTTTACCTGTCATCTGAGGCCGTAGTGCGGACAGGTGTTTGTAGCGGTGTGTGTATTTCGTTAGAGCAATAGGTGTCTGATAGGAGGTCGTCTCCCTCAAGCTCCCTGCACTGGCAGGTCCTGCCATGAATGACTTCCATGCCTTCTAACTAAAAACGCACAGATCTGGAAAAGAAAAGGAGGTTACACTTGGTCCCAGAGTAAAGCAATTTAGGACCACAATGACCTTCCCTGGGGAGCAGGGAGATAGATGCTATCTGTGTGCAGCTGCAATGTTCACTCAGTGCAGCATAGCTGACCCTCCAGCGGGTTTTTGGAGACTGTAAATGGCAGGGTTCCCATCTTTGCCTGGCCGAGGGGCAGCTGGTGGTTTTGAACCTGCTGACTTTGATTTCTGAGCGCAACTCCTTACCACTGGGCCACCAGAGTTCCTTTCTTGTCTCATATATTGCTGACTGCCTTCCAGCACGACTCATAGCGACCCTATGAACAAAAGGCCTGAAATCCCTCTACAAACTATTGACATTTATCAAAGTTCATAGAGTTTCCGGAGGCATGTTGTTTGAGAAATGGATGCCACTCCTGCTTCCAAATGTCTCATTTATACCTGTACATTATTTAAAAAAAAAACACAAACCCATTCGGCTTTCTTGCCCCACTTCTCCTACTACGGTTGAACAAGGTCGTCCAATACAATCAAGAGTTACACTTCTAAACGGTTGTGGGACTGTGAACCAGAGTCCCACAGTAGAGGGGCTGGATCGCAACGAAGATTTCAGGGTCCAGAAGGTAGGGTGAGAGTTTTCTCTCTCCCCTGTACGTGGCTGGAAATCGGATGAAAGCAGAGGATGCCCTCAGGCCCCAGAGGTGGGGCCGAACCCCCGGGGACAACCACCCTGCGGGGCGGTGACATGAAAACTCGATGCACCTGGGACATCAGACTGGAAGAGCCTCGTGACCTCGCCTCCCTTCCCCTCCCCTGAGATGACAGGCCTCCGCGGGGCGTAGAACCGGGCTGAGGACCGCACCTGCGGCCCCGGGGAGCTTGCGGGCAGGTGCGGATGCGCGGAGAGAAGTGGCGGGGGTGGGCCGGGGGTGGGGTTAAGAGTGCCTGTGACGGCAACCGTGACCGTGGCACAATGCATCCCTGTGCGCGGGCGGTGCGCTTCGGCGTGGCGGGAGGAGGAGAAGAGAGACTGTTAGAAATTTAAGAGAGAGCCAGCCCCGGAGGTCAGCAACTAGGCACTAAACGAAGCGGGACCGGAAGTAGGAGTGAAAGGCTCCGCCCAGTGGCGGAAGGCGCGCTTCCTTCACCGGGCGGCCTCTCGCCGGTTCGGCTCTTCGCCCCGCCCCCAGCCCTGGCGCGCCCCTGGGCGCCCTCTAGCGGCCGTTTTTCCCCTTCCAGGTGCTTTCCGGATCTAGAGACATGGTGGGTTCTCTGCTCTGCTTGGGGTGTAGGGAGACTTCATCTGTTGGAGACAGACCTGGGAATTTTTGTTTTTATCTCCAACCCTTTTGTTCATATTTTGTTTCCTCTAATTTTCCTTCAGAATTTTATCCTAAACTTTTTACCCTTTTGTAGTTTCTGTGTGTTCATGTGCCTTCGTGTTGACTAATTCATGGTGTCCCTACCTTGTTCTATCCTTCATCATTTTCACAATCTCCCACATGCTAGATTACATTGCTAAAGTCACTGTGTCATGACATCTTCTTAAGAGTATTCCTCTTCTGACCTTTCTTAGCATCATGTCTTTTTCCAAGGATTGGACCTTTGCTGATAACATGCCCAAAGTGAGACAAAATTTCACTATTCTTTTCTTTATGGAGCACCTTGGTTTCACTTCCTCCAAGACAGACTTGTTCTTTTGGCAGTCCGTGAGGTATTCAGTACTCTTGCCAACACCACAGTTCAAAGGTCTTAATTCTTCTGTCATTCTAATTTACTGTCCAACTTTTACATAAATAGGAAACAGTTGAAAATATGTTAAGTTTGTACAAAGCACACATTATTTGAACTAATATAATTTCTCTTTAGCATTATTAAGAGGTCCTTAATAGCAGATTTCCCCAATGCAACACATCTTTTGATTTCTTGAATGTTCCTTGGATCCACAATCAACATCCTTGGTACCAGCAGTCAGGAGTTAAGAAGACATATTATTTTGTCTGTTGTCAGGGACCTTTCCAAAATACTGAAGAGCAATGATGTCAGTTTGAAGACTAAGGTGCACCTGATTCAGGCCGTGGCCTTTTCAGTCACTTCCCATGCATCTGAATAAGGATGGCAGAAATACAATTGATGCCTTTGAGTTCTAGTCTTGGAAAAGAGTGAATGTCTGATGGACTGCCAAAAGAATGAACAGGTCTGTCTTAGAAAAGATGCAGCTAGAGTGCTCCTTAAAGGCAAGGACAACAAAGCTTTATCTCTCATACTTTGGACATGCTGTCAGGAGAGACTATTCCTTGGAAAGAGATACCATGCTTGGAAAGGTGGAAGATCAGAAGAGAGGAAGATGTCCAATGAGATAGGTTGACACAGTGACTACAGCAATGGGCTTGTTTCAGAGATGGTAAGGATTGCACTGGATAGGATGGGATTCAGATTTGTTGTTTATAGGATTACATAAGTTATCAATTTGATGGCACCTAACAACAACAACAACTACTACTACTATTCTAGATGTTGATTGTGGATCCAAGTAAGATGAAATAATTTTATTTCAATCTTTTCTCCTTCTATCATGATGTTGATATAGGTCCGGTGGTGAGAATTTTTGTTTTCTTAATGTTGAGATGTAATCCATATTGAAAGTTGTAGTCTTTGATCTTCTGCAGTAAGTGCCTCAAGTTCTCTTCATTTTCTGCATTTTCTGTGTTGTCTGCATAACTCAGCCTGTTGATGAGTCTCCCTCCAATCCTGATGCCACATTCTTCTTTATATAGTCCAGTTTCGTGAATGATTTGCTCAGCATACAGATTTAATAGATATGGAGAGTGCTCGCTTCGGCAGCACATATACTAAAATTGGAATGATACAGAGAAGATTAGCATGGCCCCTGCGCAAGGATGACACGCAAATTCGTGACGCGTTCCATATTTTTTACCCTGAAATTAACCAGTCTGTAACGAAGGCTAACTCCTTTCACCTACAAATTTCGTCTTTGGATACAAAGCTAAGTGGCTAGTCCTTACGAAGGGACTGTTTAAAAAGAGGCAGCGAAAAGAAAAGAAAAGAAAAGAAAAATAGATATGGAGAAAGGATAATGCACATCATGATGCACATCTTTCTTTATTTTAAACCATGCAGTGTTCCCTTGCTCCATTCCGACAACAGCTTCTGGGTCTAGGTATAGGTTTCACATGAACAAAAGTGATCTCAGAGTCCCTGGGTTTTCAGCCAGCCATAATTTGTTATGACCCACATAGTCAAACACCACTGCATAGTCAATAAACCCCAAATAAACATCTTTCTGGTATTCTCTCCTCTCAGCCAAGATCCATCTGACATCAGCAATGGTATCTCCTGGTCCATGGCCTCTTCTGAATCCAGCTTGAATTTAAGCAGTTCCCTGTCAGTGTGTTTTTCCAGTCATTTTTGAAATAATCTTCAGCAAGATTTTTACTTGCAGGTGATATTAATGATGTTGCTCAATAATTTTCCACACTCCACTAAATTGATTGGTGTTTAGAATCTCCTATTAAATCCTTTGATTAAATTTCCTGTCTGCCAGACCTTTGCATGGTCCCAGCCTTTCAATATTTCTATAGGCTACATTTCCCCCTGTTTAACTCTAGTCTCATTTTCTGATATTTGTTTCTTCCTGGAAAATAATAATTGAATATAGTAGATTTAACCAGAGGCGTATGCCTGTCAATGGAGGTGGAAGGAATAAATGTATATCACAATGACAATGATTGTAAAGGAAAGGGAAATTAGTTTGTCTGTGGTTTGTTGTTTCTCCCTACCCCCCCAAATAAGACTTACAGATAAGAAGGGGGAAGAAAATCATTACCACATCTTTGTAGAAGGTTGTTTTCATTAGAAAACCCTGTCCTTTAGACAACATTCAGATGGCTAACAAACACATGAAGAAATGCTCAAAATCCCTAGCCCTAAGAGAGATGCAAATTAAAACAACTATGAGATATCATTTCACCCCAGTCAAAATAGCAAAATTTAACAGAACAGCAAGCAACAAATGCTGGCGAGGTTGTGGAGAAACTGGAACCCTGATTCACTGTTGGTGGGAGTGTAAAATGGTGCAACCCCTGTGGAAAGCAGTATGGCGCTTTCTCAAAAAGTTACAAATAGAGATACCATTTGACCCAGCAATTCCACTACTGGGAATATACCCTGAAGAGACCATAGCTGACATCCAAGCAGATATATGCACACCCATGTTTATTGCAGCTTTGTTCACAATAGCAAGGAGTTGGAAACAACCTAAGTGCCCATCAACAAACGAATGGCTAGAGAAGCTGGGGTATATTCGCACAATGGAATACTATGCTGCATTAAAAAACAAGGAACTCATGCAATATTATTCAAAATGGTTGACTCTGGAGAACATTATGCTGAGTGAAATATCCCAGTCACAAAAGGCCAAATATTACATGATGCCACTGTTGTAGAATGGGACTGTCCTTGGGGTTGGGGAGAGACTGAGTAAGATGGGTTCAATAATGTATACTGCACTGAAACAGAGGAGGGAGAAAACTGTTTAAAAGAGATATATAACTAGGTATTTCTGTCATCACAGGAGACTAGAGCGAGGGCTACATGGTGGAGGGGACCTGGGGGAGGGTTTGTAAAACAATGAAAGAATCTTTTCTTTTACTTTTCCATAATTTTTGGACTCATGTACTTATAACTTGTTAGTCAAATTTGTGTCTTCTATGTTGCAACACCCCCATGATACATCTTCAAGGATATGAACATGTACGGCCAAGCACAATCAATAAGAGTGCATCTAAATTCCAAAATCAATCTCCATAATAGTCTATGTGTTTCCTACTGCCAAAGGGGCCCTTTAGAGTAGTGAGAGAAGATCTTCACCCTGAAACCCACAGCGTCCCTTTTCAGCAGGAAGTAGCTAAGAGAATACGCCATCCCCTTTTCCTTATGACTCAGGGTGAAGTC